AATCCCATTTCAGAAAATCATTATAGTTCTCTTTTTTTTTTTTTTTTTTTTTTTGGTCCCTGCAGTATGTATAAGATAACTTAGAATGATGAAGCTCTCCAGGTATTAAGCAGTTTTGTTTCAAGTGCATGACCTAGGATTCTATTAATGATCAGTTCTGACCCTTACACCTCCCCATAGACTCCTAGAGATAATGAGAAGGGCAGGGAATTATTGATCGAAACTAATGTGGCTTCCTTGTAGATCCTGAGTTTCTATGTTAAACAAAATCAATCAATGCCAACTGAAAAGCATGCTAATCATAATGTATGAACAACTTATACCAACTAACATACTATAGAAAACAATATTGCTACAATACTTAGAAAAGCAATTAAATATTATTAAAACTTTAAAAAGTAAAATAAACAACAAACAAACCACAGTTTGATTTATAACATAAATTGTCTGAATACTATGAATTAAGTTACCTGAGCTCCAGCTAGTCTAAATTTAAGAATTTTGGATATCAGGATTGACCTCAGGATTTTTCATAGCACCTAGTGGACATAAAAGTAACCAGTCCCCAAATCCAGAGCATAAGAATCTTCTAATCACAGAATTCAGGTAAGCAAATTAACAACTGCCATCCTAATTTTCTCAAGCAATTAAACTACTTCTCTCATCACCTGTTTCTATTTTCTGGAGAAAATTGCAGTTTATTTTTTAGCTATAAACATATATTGGACAGAAGTACTGGAATCTATGAAATATTTAAATGTTCATTCCATACTTCTCAGGATGCTCTACTTGTACTTAATGAAACACTTTGGCATAACAAATCTTACTTTCAGATATACACAACTGTTGTGAAAGAACACAAATCATGGGTGCATCTGTACACAAACTGTTATCAAAGCCTTTTTTTTGCTTGCTTTAAAACAAGTTTAGCAAAAGTACTGTACAAAAATAGAGAATAATTGCTATCTTCCTATCTCTTACAGGTTCCAGCTTAAAAACTGATAAAGCTTGACCAACACATAGGGAAATTACTCTGGTGATAAACCAGATGTTATGTTGAAACAAAATATCTTAGTAATGCAACTGAGGTAATTTCTATGGAATTTGATCTCAAAAAAGGGACTAGGGAACATTAGTAATAAATAATAATAATAATATAATGAAAAGTGCAGGCAAACTACTGTCATAATACCACAGAACCAACATTCATGAATAAAAATTACATCACAACCAAACATACCAAATATACATTATGACTCTGTGGGTGTAGAAATGAAGCAATCAACACTAAATCAAGCTTTAAATCAGGGTGAATATTGATGCCAGTTTTTCAGAATACATTAGCAATCTGCCATACTTAAAGACTGCTAGAAAAAAAAAATACAAAGTAATTCAATCATCTCCCTCACAGGGAAACATTTCAAGAAAAATCTCTGTTCTTTATGCTCTGCTCAGACCAAGTCCTAAACACTGCATTTTCATTTCTATGAATTCCAGTTTTATCTAGGTGACATTCACAGTCTTTCCTTTCTTAGGAAAAGACCTTAGGTGATGCAGCACTGGAAAGAAAAGTGGACTTGGGTAATCAACTCAGGACTTACTCTAAGAGCTATGTTGACAAGTGCAATCTCAGACAATGTTTGTGAGGTTTAAGAGCCCTTAAATTACTTACTCCTTTTGCTGCAAGAATTGACACTTGCACTTCACACCTCCAGGAAATATACTGCATAACTGAATATATTCTAAGGTACTTCTCTCCACTGAACAATGAACAAATGGTAGCCAGGTACAACATGATGTATTTTAAGGTTGTAAAAAGTACCAGCTTGGTACTGAATTTTCAAACCACTCTCCTGCTAGAAGCTGTAACACAATTGTCAGCTAACATTTTCTTTTTAGTAGGTTAGGAGGTCATACTTACTATGCCTGCTTCCTCCACAAATGATTTTGCATTAATTATTAAAAGTCTAAGGTCTAATTCTGCTGCCTTTACTTTAAAAATAACGTCATTAAAATCAAGGCTATATAAAGAATAAAATGAAAAGAACCAAGTTTTTGAGGTTTTTTTCTTTTAGACAGCAGAAATGGAATCTCAAATAGCAGTTATATTCTTAACATGAAGTATAATATAAATAAAGGAAAATTTGCAAAAGTACATTCCACATCCTATTTAAGAAAGTTCAGAAGATTATTTTTTTTTTGTTGGGAAAATGGGATTCTTTATTGTAAAAAAACCCAACAAACAAACAAACCAGCAATTATGTTAGTTGTTACACTCCTAAAACAGCTGTATTTGTCTTAATATCAGAGATAAAACTAGCTTTTCTTAGACATAATTTTATGTTGCTTTCATGACATGTTCAGAATAAAGCAGTAAGTAGTTGTGTCTGAAACATTTCATTCTGGAAATGAAAAGTCACTACATATTCTTTAAACTACAGACCTGGTAGATTCACAGATGGACACTTGTCAGTCAGTGGCCAATTTAGATGCCAGCTTTACTTTCAAGTACAAGATTAGAGACACAAAAAAGTGCTCACATTGTCACTTATTGTGTTGATGGCATGTAAAACTACTTTTTTAACTTCATTCATGACAAAAACCTACAGATCACAGACTTGACTTTTCCCTTCATTTTAATCTGGGAGTTTGATACAGTTCTAGGTATCATCAACCTTTCTGAGCTCTGATTACAAAGCATCCCTAACAGTGTCCAGGAAAGCAAAGTAGCATGTCATACAGATCTTGAAGTAATCATTCCTAGCAAAGGGCTCAACATCTTAACTATAAACATTTCCCAAAATAATGCAGAATCATGTTATTAGAACTATGCTATAGAATCATAGAATATCAGGTTGGAAGGGGACCTCAAGGATCATCTGGTCCAACTTTTCTAAGCAAAATCACAGTCTAGACAAAATGGCCCAGCACCCTGTCCAACTGAATCTTATGTGTCCAACACTAGGAAATCCACAACTTCCCTGGGGAGAATATTTCCATGGCTGATTGTTCTCATTTTTAAAAATTATCATTTTGTGTCTAATTCTAATGTCGCCAGGAGTAACTTATACCCATTATCCCTCAACTTTTTCATATGATTCTTTGTCAGCTTAAAAAATAATTAATTACAGTATTTAGATACAAACATTAAGGGGAAGCTCTGTTTTTCAACTGATGAACTTCCCACTTATTTTTCAAATGTTGAGTACCACATAAAGAACCTTCCCTGATTACACCACCTCTAACTACAGATCCTGTCATTCAGTTCTCTGCTTTTAAAAAAATATGATCAAGTGGATTGACAGCAAAAGCAGAATTTGAAAGAGACTTATTCTTAATGAGTTCTCAAAAAAAAAAAATAAAAAAAGGAAAAATTATTTTTAAATATCAGATTACCTCAAATTCTCGGAAAATAAGCTAATATAGTAATTGGAGGATGAGGTGCAGTCATGTCTTCTTACTGGCATGTACATTCCAGCTATCTATGATTCATCTTAAGACACTCACAGGTCTATTAAGCCATGACAGAGAAACAGTGAGTACCAGAGAGTTCCGATTTATCTGATTTATCTTAGGCACTTAGGGTGAGATAAATTACTCTGAGAAGGTGCCTTTTGTTTTCCACTGGGTATAAAGGAAAACTGGAGTTACTAACAACTAACTTTGGATACCCAAGTTACAGCAAATCAATCTCACCATAGGCCAAAACTGGCTGAGGAAAATTATGTTTCGTTCCCATCAGCTGGTGCAAAACTCTTTATCTCCTTAGAACTTTGTTGTGCTAAAATGAGAAATGTAAGTTGAATTTTTTTTTATTGTTAGTAAGTATTTTTCCTAAAGTTACAACTATAAGTGACACAGTAAAAGCATTCCTTTCTTAACCAATTAAATCTTATGATCTTACAATAAAACAGGAAAGAAGAAGTACTGGATACAGTATTATATTACGAAAGAGACAGCTAAGAAACTGTCTTACAGAGTACTAAAAACAGAAAAAGGAAAATGCAAAAATAGAATGTGCATGATGTTCTATATTTAGCTTTGTGGGTAGTCTCTGAAATCTCCTTTGAGCTGTCTTTGATAATCACTGGTACAATCAAATTCTGAGGCAACAGTAGGGTGTTCTCAGCAATGTTTTTATCTGTGGACTCAAACCAGCCAGTATTCAAAGGCAATCCATGAATTTCTTATAGTTCTATACATAAGCATCTTTTTTATTTTTTTTCACTTTTGTCAACTGAGCCTAGATCAAAACATACGATTTTGCATCACTGTTTTCAATATGTCTCCAATTTCATTTTAAATATGAATGCTTGCTAAAAGCCTTGCAAGGCAGACCTATCTTGAAGATTGTCCCACTATTAACACAGCTGTAACAGACAATTTCATTTGTCTCAAAAAATGATTTCAAAGTGAAACATTTTCATATCTCTCTGTATGTGAGCAGTTTTCCAGCTGCATGCTATCAGTGCATCTGCAGTGAATCTTACAGAATATCATTTAAAAGATAGAAGGAATGCTGGACATGTGAGGTATATCCAGATACTATATTCCAACTACAGCATCAGTGTTTTCTTCAACAGCACTAAATATCACACATTAGCCTGCCAGTGGCATAAGACCCTTGAGGCTCTTTTGCAGCATTTCTTTTAATGTTATAAGGAATAAAAAGTAGAGAGAAAACGGATGCCATTTCACTGCTAATCCTAACACCAGATGCAAAATATAACAGCACCATGCCCTTAAAAATTCAACTGCATACCAAGCTAAAACAAAATTAAAATTTCCAATCAAAAAAACGTAATTGAAATCTCTATACTACTAGTAAGTAATACTCTTTGGGTCAATTGCAATGGTATTGCCATTGCTAGTTGGGGCACATGAAAATTTCTTCCACAGAGTATTTTTTTGTTTGGTTGAGTTTTTTTTATATGAGACAGTACCAGTTTACACCATTCTTGTATTGGCAGAAACTGATTGAATAGATTTTTGCTTCTTACCATCAACACATGCTGGCCTTGCTCTTGTTGTACCGGCAATCTGTCCTTTTTTACATGCACAGCGAGCTGTTTGTCGGGCTATAGTCCTTCGGGGCTGACTGCTATCTCTGTCCAAAGTAACAATCTCACATGTACCTGCAGCCAGTTGACCTGGAAAACAAACCAGCAACAGGTACCAGAGTCACTGAATGCACTACAGGCAATCTATTACAGCCGAATAGAGTCACAGCCCTAAGTCACAGCAGACACTCCACAACAAATGGGCAGCCAGCTGATGGATATAATAAAACTGAGATGACATACAATTTTTCTTTGTGGTGGACATATGAAACCCCTGCAAACTGGTTCTGTCAGAAAATGATTATTGTTCCATAAAAGCCAGAGAGTTGAGGTTACACAGGTTACTTTTACTTACGTCGGCTAAGTAAAGGAACAATCGTTTACAGCAATGAAATTTAAATGGTGTGCTCTTTACATACTTTCAGAAAAGAAATTATAAAGTATATGGAAAATAAAAACTTCCCCATATGTCCATGAATACAGTGAAGTCTTAACTGCTTTGTGTGTTGGTTTTGAAGGAAAAAGTCTTTCAAAGCGTGTCCATGCTTGCCAAACTGTCAGTCCTTTGGCTCTTGCTTCATCTAAACTGAATTCTCTACCTGACTCATATTTGATGTAGCTGTTAGTTTCTTTTTCTTTTAGTTTCTTTTTTTTCTTTTACCAAATTTACTATTTAACTATTCTCCAAATAACTTAAATGATACTGCACCCTTAGCTCTGTAACTGTTTACTTGTTATTGACGTCTCCAATATATGTATCTTTTCCTGAATACAAAGGAAATACAAACCACCTAATTCTGAATTTGGACCATGCTATGAGAGGCAAAACAAAAAGAACAAAAAATTCTTGTGTGAAGAATATTAGTCTGAAGTAAATGCTATACATTTAAAGTTATGCACTTCCTCTGATAAAACCATAAACCAAAAGACTACCTTTTACATGCAAGAAAGACACATTATTGAATTACAGTGTGCAGAAAGACTGAAAAAGCCTCCCAGCTATCACTTAGCATTACATGTAATTTCTGGGGGTTATGGTGCAGCAATAAACATGTGTAACAGTACATCTGCAAATCACAAGCTTGCTATGTTTTGTTTTCACAAAAAAAAAAAAAAAGTGAACAAATGCAATATTCTTTTTAGAAAAAAATACGCAGTTTAAAATATTAGTCACAGTATTTTTATGCAGCTGAATTACTGAAAAAAACCCTATGAGACAAAAAGAAGAAATTCTAAATCTATATGGACATCAAAACAAAAACAAACAAACAAAAAACAAAAACAAAGAAAAAACCCCTGAAACATATATGAATGGTCTGTAGGTCTAACAGTACAATGCTATTTCTCTAGGCTGCATTTTCCTCATTCAGAATACAAGTTTACCCAGTCTATTCTTCTCAGAAGCACCTTACAATGCTTATTGTGCGGAACAGAAAAACATTGTAGCTCATCCCACATATATGACATAAATATTTTCTGGCGATTGTGTCGCAGGGTGCAAAGATTTCAAGTATACTGAGCACTGCAGCACAGTGTACATCCAGTGTTACTTGGCTTTAGATGGCTGTAAAGGATGAGAAGTAGTATTTAAGGTTATGGAAGACCATCTCCAGGGAGGGAGTCGTTGGTGTAAAGCATGTCCTCTCTGCCTTTCAGTAGGTAGAGGGTAAGTCTACAGGAGTACCTTACTTAGATAACATGAATGCTACTTTGGCTTTTTAACAGTTTAATCTGGAAACATAAGGTCCAAAATAATGGAACAAAATGAATATGCTTCTTGTAAGTACTGAGTTACAAAAACTAGGATAGCTTTCCTTTTCAGGGAAGTTAACATAGTGACCTCTTTCAAAGATAGTAATGAAAAAAGGTTGTTCAACTGAAAGCCTTGGAACACGCTCCACTTCATTCCTGAGACCAGAGAAGAAATTTCAAGGCAGCAGTGAGTGGAGTTTCACTGGAGCTTTTCCAATTGAGAGATTAAGAGTCACAGTCTACAAACAGTCATAAAGACTCCATATTTTCTTTGTGTACTTGCAGTAAACAAAGCAATTCACCACCTTCCAACCTGAACAAAATAATCTTGGCAGAAGAAAAGACAAGCATCATCAGAGAACTCGGAGCCCTGTCTAAAATTTTTTTCCCAAGAAAAAAAATGTCATTTTTTACTAGTATGAAGGTTGCTACAGAATTACCATAATCCAGTTTTCCAAGCAAATGAGTATTTCTTTATTCTTGTTATTTTTATGATATATATAAAAATATTTTATACTTGATAAATATCTATTTTATAATTTTAATACAGTAATTAAGACCTCCTTGGCAATTTATTTGATTTTGTGTTGTCACCATCTGATTACTAAACAGAGAAAAGTTTCATATTCTTTAATGCTCTTCTCTAGTGTTATACTGCATTCTTAAAATGCCAGTTGATCTCTCCCCTCTCTCTACCACCACAATCACAAATGCTTCTATATGGAATTATTTCAAGAAAAAGGAAAGCCACGGGATTCTGAATTAAAAACGCAAGTCAAAGTAAACCAAAATAAAAACAATGCTCAAATGCTAACATTTTAAATACAACAGTTTTGGGCTTTTGGCTTTTAGCGTGAAATTGTTTACAGTAATTGCTGTATACAGAACCTCTTTTGCTTTCTTCTAAATGAAATCCAACTGCGATCAGTCCTGAAACTGCTCTTTGTGAGACTTCCATGAAGTATGTAGAAATCAGTGAGTATAGGTACATATATTTAACAAATGTTCAGGATGTCTCAAGGTAAAATAAACATATTTTTAAAAGATCTTTAGTACTTACATTCTTGAAATAAAAGAGTTTGATATTGAAAAGTTTAAAAGTAAATGGCATTTTTGATGTTGATTACTAAGACCTCTCTGTCAACCATATGCCATTGCTGAAAGAGCAATGATATCGAAAGAATTTGATATTGTTTGTCATCGGTAAAACCCTTAAATAGTAAATACATTTGTACTTCAGTACTTGGGATAACATTTTAATTTTCTGTGAATAAAAATATTTCTGTTCTCTAATAGAATACAAAAATCTACATATTCCACATTGACTACAGTAAGCAAGTTACAGATTTTTTTTAATTTATGATTACTGAAAAACTTTACCAAAAATTCAATTAAAGAAATAAAATCAAATGATGAACTAATGGTATCTGTGGGTACAATGAAAGTAAGGCTTGATCTAAATATATAGGTCTTTCCAGGGGGTTAGATTTCATGCTCATCCATAAAATCTATTTGATTCGTACATGCAGGCTTATATTATAGTTTCAGTGAACAATTTTTCCATGCATCACCAATTTGATGCCTAGCAACACAAGCTCTTTTAGTTCAAAATGCATTAAGTTAGATGGTATTAAAATTCTTGGCTAGATTCAGATACTCTTTTGTCAGTGAACACAATGCAGGAGTTGTTTCAAAATCAGATCATAGGAATACATTCAGTAGTTTTCTATTACAATATTGAAGTCTTTGTGACAACAGAGCCATGCCAACTCCTGAGCAGAACTTAGGACCAACAAATGCTACGGAAATAAGGGGAAACTTAAATACTTAGTGTCACTCATTATTTGCAGTTTGACATTAACCTGGGTAACAAATATTTAAACATAATGCAATTTAAAATATAAAAAGCATATGTTTAAGTGGAATTTGAAATTTTTTGTTATATATCCTTCCTCAAGGAGAATGTCCTGCAATAAGATCTCTTACACTGAACATGATCCAATTTCAGACAGTCAGATTACCTTTTCTTTTCCAATTTTAGTTCAGAATGAGAGAGACTAACGACAAGGAATTGTTTTGCCTCAAAGAACCACACTCACTTTTAAGCTACAATAGCAAAATTTCTGGAAATCCAACTAGAGTAAAATAAGAAAGAACAACTCCAACAACCCTCCCAAAAAAACGTATTTTATCTAAAGTAACAGTAGAATTGGCTCAGTCAGTATGGGGAAAAGCTGTTCAAATGAATTAGCACAATTTGAGAATAACTATCAAATAAGAACATTGTTTCAATTCTTACCTTATGTGATACAAGGGCATTTCAGATTTTTAATAGAATAAAGTAATGGAAATACACTATTCCCCTTTCCTGTTATTAAAGTCAAGGACATTGAAAGCATTTGTTTCCAAAATCTTTCATATATCATTTAGGACCTCGTATCTTTTTATTGAAATAAATATTGTGGCTGTTTAAGTAGCAAGACTGTACAAAGCAATTTTTCATGCTAGTTGAGTTAGACAACCTGTTTAAAATATTCTTTATCATTTTTTCTTGAGGGTATGATTATGTTGTCAGTAGAAGAAGACAGAACCAATGTCACTGAAACAAAAAGTAACTAATTTGGAAAATCCTGATCTATTGGTGCAACCCACAGATGCCCAGTAAAGTAAAAAGCAGTATAATTTTTCCAGAACTTTCCATACATTTACTTCATTACAGCTTCAGAGCTATATTTGATGAAAATTGACCTTAACATATGACCTCTGTAGCTTCTCTGTCTTAAAGGGAGTGATTTTGGATTTTAGTAGTATAAAAGAATGGAATTTGTCTCAAAAGGTGTGGCTTTAGTGCTCATTTTATGAAGGAAAACTCACTGTAGAATCCAGCTAAGCAAAATTTATGAATAACAAGGGAAAAGTATGATGAATTACTTCTGCTTTAAAGAGTTAGTTTAAATATTTTTCAGAGTTCCACTGCAATGAAACAGTACATTATGTCCCCCTAGTAATTACTAATCTTATTGCAATTTTCAGACTACCACTTAGCCATCTCAAGCACATAAACAGCACAGACATTAGGAGGATAGGAAAATAGTTTTCAGCTCCTCCATTCTGATATAAGCAGTAAATTTTAATTAAGATAGATCCTAATCTAAATAGTTGCACAGGAAAGAAAATCAAGTCTGTGGAGATTCAAGATACATTCAGGGCCCATTTTGAGATTTCTTTTTTCCCAGATAAGACTAACACCCTAATTTATTGCACCTGATACTGCTATTGCATGTAATTGCTTAATATTTGGTTGTATAATTAAGAATAATTTCCCTTATATCTGACTATTAAAAACCTAACAGAAAGAAAAATAAA